GGTCATCTAGCTTAGTACAGGCTAAGAGCTAAGATTTGAATCCCAGGAGTCTGCAGCCTCTGTTATTTTTTAAATTCTATACCCTGTAGTTAGAATTTTTTAGGTATTCATTGATTTTAGGTATTCTTGATGGGCTTTGTGGTTTTTTTTTTTTTTTTAAAAAGATGACCGGTAAGGGGATATTAACCCTTGTCTTGGAGTTGTCAGCACCATGCCCACCCAGTGAGCTAACCGGCCATCCCGATATGGGATCCGAACCCGGGGCCTTGGTGTTATCAGCACCGCACTCTCCCGAGTGAGCCACGGGCCGGCCCAAATTCTGGGCTTCTAATTTGTTACTTTTTTTTTTTTTCCTTTTTGTCTTTTTTCGTGACCGGCAACGGATCGCAACCCTCAGTGTCGCGCCCGTACTGGACTGGGACCGGCAACGGGATCGCACCTCGCTCAGCCAGTGAGCGGCCGGTCTGTATGTGGGATCCGAACCCTCGGCAGGAGCGCCACCGCGCTCCCAAGCGGCGCACTGTAGCAGTGCGCCACCGGGCCGGCCCTGGCTTTGTGGTTTTTAAATCTACTTTTAGGGCCAGCCCGTGGCTCACTCTGGAGAGTGTGGTGCTGATAACACCAAGGCCACGGGTTTGGATCCTATATAGGGATGGCTGGTTGGCTCACTAGCTGAGTGTGGTGTTGACAACAACAAGCCAAGGGTTGAGATCCCCTTACTGGTCATCTTTAAAAAAAAAAAAAAAGTCTGCTTTTACCATCTGAAATATAAAGAATTATAAAGACATTAAGTCCAATGTTCATTCTGATGGAATCAATTTGAATAAATTTTTCTTTGAAAATGTGGCACAAACTTGGTGGGTTCAGAAGTGAAACATTACAGAAAAAAAGAAAAGCTTCATCTTTTTGTGTACTTTTTTCGAAAGTGTGTTTTCAGTCTGAAGAGTATTTTGAACTTGTATGTATATATATTTTTAAGTCAGGCATGTACACTTAAAGATGTACAGAATTTAGGTTAGGCTTTTTTTTCAGAACCAGGTGAGGAAATTTTTATTGTTGATGGATTTCATCCACTGATTCATGAATAAGTTGTAAATTGGGTCAGAGATGAAAAAATTAGGGTTTTCATGCTGGCAGTATTTATAAGTGTTAACTCTTGTGTCCACATCGGACTTTCAGACCTTATAATGGTATCTGGAAGAAAATTTGTCTTTTTTTTTTTTTTTTTGTAGTAGTCTTCTGTATGTACCAGTTGATACATGTGTAAAGGAACTGTATAAACATTTTTAGTTCATTTCTAATGTTGCTGTTTGTATTAGTTTGCTAGCGCTGCCATAAAATTCTGTAGATTGGGTGGCTTACACAACAGAAATTTATTTTCTCACAATTTTGGAGGCCAGAAGTTCAAGATCAGGTTGTCAGCAGATGATTGGTTGCCTCTGCAACCTTTCTCATGGCTTGCAGATGCTGCCCTCTTGCTGCCTCTTCACATGGTGTTTTTTTCTGTGCAGGCATACCTCCTGTCTCTTATTGTGTACAAATTTCCTCCTCTTATATAAGGACATAGTCTGAATTGAATAGGACCCTCCCTAATGGCCTCATTTTAAGTTAATAACTACTTTAAAGAGCTTATCTCTAAGTACCATTACATTCTGAGGTATGGTATATGGGGGGTTATGACTTCAACATGAGAATTTTAGGGGGTACACAGTTCAGCCCATAACCTATTACACAGGGAAGGAAGATGAAATGAGCATTAGATGGCACAAAGCACAGGTAAAAGAAAATGAACAGAGTGGAACTTTTTGAACTTTTTTTTTTTTGGTGACTGGTATGGGGATCCGAACCCTTGACCTTGGTGTTATAACACTGCACCGTAACCACCTGAGCTAACGAGCCAGCCCTGTAATTTTTAATTTGCCTTTATACACTTGCTGTAAATATCATAGTAATTAGCTAGTCTTACTCTTTACATTTTTTCAGAACATGAGTTAACTTCTGCTGTTAGCTATTTGTGTTGTGTATGCTTTAAGAACTAGGTTTAAGTTAAAATTCATAAAGACATTGCAGAATTGCATAGCTGATTTTAGTGGTTTGCTGCCAGGAATAATTTTTAGTATATAATTTTTTACTAAACTTGTTTTGTATGATACCTTGTTTAAGATGAAGCTTTTAAATTTTTGGTTATTTTTAGGTTCTGTGGAGTTTCTTGCTAATTTTTTATTTGGTACAAGTTTTAAAAACAATTTTTCATTTCCATTGAGTTACTGAAATTATACTTTTTGAGAGTTTCTGAGAAAAAGTTGTTGGAAAAATATATATCATAAAGTACAGCTTAGTATGGTGCTTCATGTTAAAAGAGGTGATATAAAATTCCTTCATAAATTCTGAAACACTTTAATTATTTCACAAGACTTCAAAATGTAATGCAAGCAGAAATAGAACTCAGTGCGTGAATTTTTGTGATGTAATATAGTTCAGTTAGGTATACTTTTTTTTTTTTTTTTCCCTTTTTGTCTTTTTTCGTGACCGGCAACGGATCGCAACCCTCAGTGGCGTGCCCGTACCGGACCGGGACCAGCAACGGGATTGCAACCCTCGGTGTTGCTCCCGCACCTTGCTCAGCCAGTGAGTGGCCGGTCTGTATGTGCGATCCGAACCCTCGGCGGGAGCGCCACCGTGCTCCCAAGCGGCGCACTGTAGCAGTGCGCCACCGGGCCGGCCCCCAGTTAGGTATATTTTTAAAACAAAACCTGTATTTTGTTTCATGAGTGTTTTATTGGACTTCATCTTAGGTTTTTAAAATTATATCAAGGTTTTTCTCCCTCCAGCCCCATAGAAGCATTTAACAGTTAAACATTTTCATTTCTGGGCCGGCCCCGCGGCACAGTCGGGAGAGTGCGGCGCTGGGAGCGCAGCGACTCTCCCGCCACGGGTTCGGATCCTATATAGGACTGGCCGGTGCGCTCACTGGCTGAGTACGGTGCGGGCGACACCACACCAAGGGTTGCGATCCCCTTACCGGTCACGAAAAAGACAAAAAAAACCCAAAACATTTTCCTTTCTGTTGTGAGTTAACCAATGTTTTCTTGTTTGTTTGTTTTTGTTTTAATGTCTGTTTACTCTTAACCTTTAAAAAAAAAGTAGACCAATACAGTATGGGATAGTAGAATTAGAATAAATCTTTAACATCCTGAGACTCTTTATGTATGTATGTATTCTAGGAAATTGGTATGGCTTTAAAAAATTGTGCCTTAGCATTTCCATTAGAAAGAAAAATTTTGAAAGTATAAGATAAACAGTGATACTAATTATTTCATTATTTAAAATTTTGTTTTGAGATTATGTAATTGTAAATATAAAACGTTTGTTGTTAGTAAAATTAGATATTTTGATGTTTAGAAAATTTGATTTAGGGCTAGTTAGCTCAGTTGGTTAGAACACTGTGTTATACCACTAATGTCAAGAGGGGGGAAGACAGAACAAAATTTGAGTTAGGAAGACTGACTACTATTCTAAGATCTCCATTGAAATGAAAACAGTTGTCTAGTTGACTTCTGCTTCATTTTTTAAAAATTACGAATTGACTGTGTTTAGATTGGTCTGGCAACTTGGAACTTTTATTGATGCAATTCAGACAAGCTCTGGAAGAATTAAATCAGTATGTAGTTTCTAAAATATTAAAGATTTCATCGTGATGATTTGTAATTACAAGAAAAAACCTTTTTATTGTGGAAGTTTAAAACATACGTATAAGTAGAGAGTATTTAAATGAGGGTACTTCAAAAAATTAGTTTAAAAAACCCCACTAACTAAAAGATAATACATATCTTTCCATGAACTTTTTGAAGACCCTCATTCATTTCTTGTGCTAACAATATAGTCAGTGTTTACAAATGTAGACAATCTTGTTTCAGTTATACCCCCACCCAGCATTCCCTGGTTTATTTTAAAACAAAGTCCAGATGTATAAATTCAATTGTAAAGACTTTAGTGTGTGTTTTTTCTTTTAAAACACAATAACCACTATACCATTATCACATCTAAAATGATTATTAGGTCCTTAATGCCTTTCAATATCCAGCTCATGTTCAAATTTCTGGTTGTTTCATAATTCTCTTTTTTTAAGAGTAGGTTTGTTCAGTCAAGTAAGGATCTGTACAAGGTCCACATGTTGTATTTGATTGATCTGCCTATTAAAAGCCATTTATTTGTAACCAGATCATTTGACCTTTAAAGTATCCTAGGATGTGGATTTGGTGGAATACTTCTCCCAGATGGCCTTTAATTTTTCTCTGTCTTGAATTTCCTGCAAATTGGTAGTTAGATTTCAAATTCCATTTGGGTTGGGGTCAAGAATACATCATAGATGGTACTGTGTACTTCATATTGCATCACATCAGGAGACACGTGATGTTTAGATGTCTGTTTCTGATCTTTAAAAGTAAGCTTTATTAAAGTGTATTTTAGTTACAAAGAAATTTGCCAGTTTTAAGAATACAATTTGACGAATTTTGACAAATACGTACAGTTGTATAACCATCACCCCAATCCAGGTAATACCCCATTATCCAAAAAATTCCCTCTTGCCCCTTGCAGTCACCCCCCCCCCCCCAAA